TAAATAAATAAATAAATTAAGCAAAGGAAATAATCAACAGAACAAAAGCTTACAGAATGGGAGTCTAGGCCAGAGTATATAAGCAGATAGTTTAAATCTCTAGAATTCTTTTATGTTTCCTATACACCTTACACATGGGTTTTTGTTGTTTTTGTATCAGGAATCAAACTCAGAACTTTGAGCCTGGTAGGCAGGTGCTGTGCTGCTGAGCTATATTCCTGGCCCTACACATAGCTTGAAGGGGCTTCTGCACAATATCCTTAGTGCATCTGTATACGACTGTAACATGGAACACGGGGTCAGACACTTTCAGATCTTCGAGCACTCTGTGTTTTCAGAATGAGAACACTCAGCCTGTTATCACTAACAAGCCATTTGAGTGAACAACGTGCTACATAAACAATAGGAGTAAGGAGCGATCTAGACATTGACAGGTAGCAAAGATCATAAACATTTAACTTCTGGCCCACAGAAAGTTAGACATGCAATTTAACATTTTCCACCCATCTCACATGATGCCAGCTGCCACCAACCAGGAAGACTACACCGAGATGCGGCTCCTCCTTCCACCAGCAGCTTTTCTCACCTGGAGCCACTCTCTCTCTATCAATGCCTCAAAGCCCCGGATGGTCCTGCTTCTCGGTTCCAGGATGATCTGGGCCAGAGAAGTCACCTGCAGCGTGGAGTCCGTTCCTTCTGTCCCGTGGATCAATACAGATGCACCTTCCCTGGTAAGAGAATCCAAAGCACACATGGGATGCTCCTGACCAGAACATGTACTGAGTACAGTGTTTCAGTCTCATGCCTGTAACCTGCCAGGTAGGAGCTGGAGCCCATGTGCGGCAGTGAACAGACAGAGATTGACTTGGGAAAAGATAAGACTATAGCACGTTCCACATTTCACATGGTAAAAATCTCACTCAGTTATAACAAATTTTATAGCATTTTCCTGCTAAATTTTCCATTTCTTAAAAACCAGTCAAAAGCAATTCTTGTCAGAAGAAAGAACAACAGTTCTTGTCGCAGCAGGCGCTTAACTTTCCTGTTTCAATAGCAGCACCATCAGTCTGCATTACCGATCCCTTCCCTCCCCCATGGAACCCTGGTCTTTGGTTTCAAACGTGTTGCTAGGTAAATGAGCTCCACCTACAGTAAACAGCAGTGACAGCCTGGCAGTACTGACCCCAAGGCTCCCTGCCCGTTCTTGCTGCTGTGGCTGACTTAGATCATGAACTCCATGACCATGAAATTTCACACACGTTTCCATCACGTGGAAGCACCAACAGAGTAAGTTATGGTGACAAAGAAAAGTGCTACCCAACTAGGAGGGGACAATGCTTACACCTACTGATGGTTTCAACGGAAATTCCCTTATTAAAAGGGGCATTCTAAGCTCCTGCAACAGTCTCTACCAAGGCCCTGCTCTGTTCAAGTCTTCCGCCTCCAGCCTCCAGGGTCAGCAACCTTGAACTGAGTGAACGTAACAGAATCACTTCCCATCTGTGACACCACGATCATCATGTTTCCTCCACCTGAGACCCGGATCTAAGCACACACCAAGAGGGCTGGAATAAGGTATCTGAGAGACCAGAAAAGCTCCTGAGGCTGTGTGACGAAGCCACATCCCTTCTATGGGCCACAGTGCGGAGGCAAGTTTGGTTCTCTAAGAAGAAATAAGAACACTTCCTTTGATTCTTGCTCACTGTATAAGAAATGGAAAATTGGTGACTTCATAATATAAGGATTTTAGAGCAAGAAATAGGTCCCTTAGTAACTTTAATACATTTTGCCAGGGCCGGGGAGATGGCTCAGTAGAGTAAGTGCTTGCCTGGCAAGCACAAGGGTCTGGGTTCAATCCCTGGTTCTGCCAAAAAAAAAAAAATTGTTTTTCTATAGAAGACATGTATATACACATGGTGCATTCTTTCAAAAAAACATTAATGACTAATGCCAGGTTCAATGATTATCCCTCACTTACACAGTAATTTTTAAAATGACCCGAAGGTAATTACATGATAGGCATAGACTGTGAACATGAGTCTGGGTAAACATAAAGCCTGGTGACGGGTGTGTCCCGCTCAGTGAGGCTGGCCACACCATACCTGTCAATGCACTGCGCCGCAAGGCAGGCGGCGGTCAGGATCTCTGTGACATGGCTCAGCCAGTTGGAGGCCTCCAGCTTCCCGAGCCAGCGGTCCATGTTATGCGTCTGGTCATTGCAAGCTTCCACGAGTTTGATCAAGCTGTCCTGAAGAACGTGGTATCTTTTAAAAGCAAGAAAGGGAAAATAAAAAGTAAATAAAAGAAAATATAAAATATCTACAGACAACAGTGGTTCAAAATAGTATTACTCAGTGAATTGAAGATTAACCATTGAAAAAATAAAGGCTGCTGCAAAGATGCCGCAAATGGCCCTCATCCATGTCAGGTGTGCTCCTCTGCACAGCGAGACCCAGCTGACAGTAGGGCAGCGCGCTCTGGGACGGGCCCTGAGACGGTGGTGCCCCAGCCTCACCACACCTGGCAGGACAGCTGCGAGTCCTCAGGGACACACGCCCTGCTCCGACCCACTGCCCTCAGCTTGGACTCGGACCCTGGTTGCACTCACTGAACATGGAACCAGAGGTGGTGGAGATGAAGCAAATGGGATGAGAAAATCGGTGGGAATGGAGAGAAGGTAAAGCTCCGAGTTTTTTACCTTAGGAAGATTATGTGTAGCAAATCTGTTCTATCTGCCTGGCAGCCCCTGACCTACACACAGAGGAGCAGAGGCAGTGCTGCTGGGTCTGAGGGTCAAAGAAAAGGAGTGCTATTTACTGACTCAAAGCCAACCCAGCTGTCCAAGGGAAATTTTGGTTTTGGTGCTTTTGTTCTTGTTTTGTTTGTTGCTTACCTTTAAAATATAATAAGAAAGTTAGTCTTTTAAAACAATAATCAAAATTGACAAACATTTAGCTAAGGATACAGATTTGCAGTCACTCCGGCAGAGTAAGTTTGGCAGACCTACAACATAGTGTCTATAGTTGGAAACAATGTACCATGTACTCAAAACTGCTACAGCCAGGCATGGTGGTACACACTGGTGATTCCAGCCCTAGGGAGGCTGAGGCAGGAGGATCCCTGAGTTTGAGGCCAGCCTAGGCTGCACAGTGAGCTCAAAGCCAGCCTGAGCCGGGGAGACAGCTCAGTGGCACAGTGTCTGCCTGGCAAGCATAAGGTTGTGAGTTTGATTCCTGGTACCTAAAAAAACGGAAGGCCTCACCTCTCAATGGATTTATGGATTCGCCGCCACTGGGGATAATGAGCTTCCTGCTCAAAGCCGCCTCCTTTGGCTCTCGCTTGCTGGGCCACATTCAGAGACCGCGTGTCCACGATGTAACCCCGCTTGCCCGGCTTGAGGGTCGCGTTTATCAACTTCTCGTCTTCCTTGCACCTTCTCCCGTTGGTGCCTGTGAGAGGCTGGCCGCTCCGCATAATTACCTGGAAGCACAACACCCTGATAGCTCAGCAGCAGCTGCTATTACAATTCCTGGAAACATAAAGGGAGCAAAGGAGCCTGAAAACAGCCACGTGTCCATGTGGGGGGCTCTGCGCACAGAAGCAAGGGTTTACATGCAGTGATAACAGTAACTAGAAAGCAAAGAGAAGCCTTGCACTTTTCCACGACTTTTGATCCTGCTCTCTCAAAATATTTTCACAAAAGAAATTGTATCCTATCTTTACGATGAAGCATTACAATTCAGCTAGCCCATGAATGGGACACCTAGTAGACCTGCCCTGTAATGAAGACAGTGATGGCCTTGATTTTGTGAGAGAGTGAATGACTTCATTCCAAATAAACAGACCTCTGCAAACAGAGGACTAGCTCTGAAAAGCTGTCTGCTGGCTGAGCAGTGTCAGACAACTGAATCCCAGCGACCCTGGGGACTTAGGCAGGAAGATGGCAAGTTTAAGACGAACCTGGGCAATTTGGCGAGATCCTGCATCAAAAGTAAATTTTAAAAAGACCTGGGGAGAGTGGAGAGATAGCTCAGTAGAATAACTGCTTGCCTGGCAAGTGCAAGGACCTGAGTTCAGTCCCCAGTTCTGCAAATAAATAAATAAATAAACAAATAAAATAAAAAGGGTTGGGTTGTCCTAGGTTCAAGGTCCTAGGCTCAATTCCTAGTATTGGAAGCAAGGAGTGTGTGTGTGTGTCTGTGGGGGGGATTAAAAAGCCAACTTTTTGTAAAAAAAAAAAAAAAAAAAAGTTTGTTTACATTAGTGAACAGCGGTAGACAGGGTTCTTCTAGCAGGTGCCCCCTGCCCCTTTCTACCTTGAAGGGATCTTAGCAGCAGAAGAGCCTGACAGCTGGCACAGGGCGAAGTGACCACGGATGGCTGTCGCCTAGGAGACTTCACCTGCATACAAGCCAGCCCTGGCTGCAGTGTCCACCTCCCAGCCTTGTGCACAGCCTACCTCTGTCCGCCAGAAGCCAGTGCCTCCTGCTGCTAAGCCCTGCCCGAGGCTCAGCCATCCTGCCGTCTGTGAGCCTCACAGCCCTGTGCTCAGACACATGACAAACCTTCTAGCTTCTTTTCCTACTTGACAGACTAACATCATGGAATCTTTGGGAAAAAGAGTACACATGAGACTTCCCTCCAACTTCAACTGCATATACATATAGTTGGATGGTTTTTCAAGAATTATAAAGAGGAAAGGCTCCAAGCACAAATTAAAAGGTTGGTTGGGAATAACATTCTGGAAACCTGCTTGTCTGGTACTGATTCTCTAGGGACTGAACCCCTGCCATCCTTTTCTGTGTCCCAGGACTTAACCACTTGTCTCAAAAGACCACCTGTATCTTGTAAAAGGTTTGCTTTAAAACTTTTCTCAAGAAATTGTTATTTATCATACTAATCTCTTCCCTGGTGAATGGTTTAGAGTTATTTCATAGCAGCAAATTTTTAAAAACATGTTTAGACTAAATAGTCCCTTTTCTGCCTAGTATTTGGGGAAAGGAAAATGGAAAACAGGTACAAGTAGTCATGAATTTATTACTGGCCTCAAAAATGAGAGGCAGAATTTACTGACTGGGAGGAAATGAAAGGGGAAGTAACTTAGAAACTACTTTGAAAACCAATACCTACGCCTTTCCTACTCCCAAGCCTTTCCTACTCCCAACTTCCGTGTCCAGATACGTCAATAAACAACAGGTACCATCTCCTCTCTTGAAAATAAGAATAGCCGCTCAGACGACCTTCTATGGAGACTTGGTGAGAACAGCTACAGTACCTCCCCTTAGCCTGGGCAGAGAAATGCTTCATTTTTTTTTCCTTTACAATGTTGATGCAGGCATCAAATCAACACTAGTTTTCTTTGCACTGCATCCTGAAGGCAAATCTATCTTGGCTTTCCTAAGGCTGAGGAGCTGATGGAAAGAACCCCTGGTGGAAGGGCTGGGGAGATAGCTCAGTAGGATAAGCGCCTGCTTGGCAAGTGGCAAGGGCCTGAGTTCAATTCCTGGTTCTGAAAAAAAAAAAAAAAAAAAAAAGAACCCCTGGTGGGAGACTTGCACAATCAGTTTAGGGAACAGGCAGGCAGAACAAGGAGACATTCCTAAAAGACCCCCATGCAAGCTTCTCAAAGCTTGGGCAGTAGTTCTGCACACTTACCATTCCATTCTTTTTGTGATAATAGCTTAGCACTGGGAAGCGCCCTCCATGCCGAAACGTAGCTACCTTCCGAAGAGCTTCATCATCGATGGTTTTGGGCACTATGACAATTGGTGGGTATGAAGGACAGACAGCAAATTCCTTATTGACATAGCTTAGCCGCCATTCATTGGTCTGGAAAACATAACACACTTCAAAGCTAAGCAAGTATCTTAATGTCACCAAATAATCTGAGAGGACATTTTCACAAATGCAGAAGCCATGTCCTAGGAATCCAATTGTAAGGTCCATACTCTACACAAAATACCTCCAGAAACAAGGAGCTCAGCTCTTGAATGGCAGCTTCCCGCACATTTAGGGATAACCAGTTCCTAGAAAGTTCTTCCTCACGCTGCACAAAGCCTGTGGCTCTGCAACTTCCTCTATCAGTTTTTTTTTTTAAACCATGATTTCAGACAATAACGCTCCAGTTCCGTATTTCACGTAACACTGCATTACATGTGTGACAGTTATTTCCCTGGAAATCCTCCATTTGCCAAGGTGACTACACCAAGTTTATCCGTGATTACCGTGGCCAAACTCATCCTATATGTCCTTTTCTGGGTGCATGCAGTTTGTTAGTGGCCATCTTAAAACAGCACAGCAGGAGTGTGATACTCCAGATAAAGTTACGCAGAATACACGGAAACAGAGCTACAACTTACATCAAGTAAGGTTGGTAACATTTTTCTTAAATATTACATCTTATTCCTTTATTATCTACCCACGTCTCTAACCTCTCATCTAATCACACGTCTTTCCAAGATATTAACTGAGAAATGAGACTGGCTAATGTTAACTTTCAGTTAGTGCACAGTGCAAGGGGCTGACCTGCAGGACAGCTTGAAGACTCAAGGACTAGATCACTTTCAAAGCTCACTCCAAGCTGGATCATGGGCAGGTCATCTGTACAAACACTTTTTAGCTACCAAGCAAGTCACCCAGACATCTCCCCTCCTGGTACCCTGACTGCCATCCTTCCACCTAGCAAGTAAGCAAGGACGCCTCTGTAGTAGTTAGTACATAGTAGCTGTAAGCACCCTGCACTTGAGAATGCTTACAATGCAGTTTGGAAGGTCAAAAATTCCCCTACTGATATAAATATAGGTGCTAGTTTGTGAGCTGCATAGCAGTGCTCCTTAGTGAGATGTAAAGTTCTCTTTCCTTTTTTATTTGGCTGCTGAGGCCAGCTTTGCTCCTTAAATCCCACGTCACCTTGGTCCTGACCTCGATTCCCTCAGTACTCACTTATACAGTGGGGGAATTTAAGTATGATTGAAGAAGGAAGCAAAACATGGGCAAAACCAGGAAGACCTGGTTGTAGCAACCGCGCACAGCAATCCAAATTATAAACACAGCCGCTGTAAGCTCAGAAATGCTGGATGGTTCTCTACTGCTCTCTCAGGCACACTGTGGACTCAGTACACTTTTCAGGGATGGCTTAGAACCCATTACTACAAATAAAACTATTTCTACAGAGACATTTTAAAATATCTGTTATGGTTTGGGTCTACTTGTTCCCCCAGTGCCTCATGTAGTCATTGGGGCTGGCTTCTAGAGATTGCGATTAATTCATCCAGTGCTGAGATTATGGGTGTGAGTATTACACTCGCGGGTAGCCTAAATGCTATATAAAGAATGGTAAGAGGCTTGCTTTCTGCCTCTGCAGCTGCCGCTGCTCCTTCCTTTTTGTTCTTGCTGTTTTGCTGTTTTCTGCTGCCCTCTGCCATGTGCCACTCTGCCTTGGAGCCAGCTGACTATGGACTGAAACCTCCACAAACTGTGAGTTCCATAAACCTTTCTTTCTTTAATTTTGGGTGTTGGGAATTTGTCCCAGCAATGAGAAGAGTAACTGAGACAATACCCAGCAACTAACATGCAGTTTGAAGATCTTAATTGCCAAAGTTTATAAAGTAATACTTGGCATATATCGGTCTAACAGAAGACAAAGCATCTGACTGCAGCTCTCACAGGTAATACAACTTCTTTTGGGCACAGAGAAGTCAGCTGCAGCTTTTAGTCTTCAAAGGGAAGTGACTGTTTTCACAAGTAGTATTAGCTGCTGGGCTGTTTCTCATTACTGTGAGCAATGCTCAACGCTATGGACTCAAGAACCCATAGTCCCCAAATGTCACTCACGGCAGAAGAGTAGAGTTCAAACTCTTGCTCAGGAAGGAAGGAATGCCAGCCGTCCTCTATCACCTCAAACATCGGCCGGTAGAAGAAGGGGTACATCAGGGTGATGGAGTCCAGGGTGGACAGGGCCTGCAGGCAGAAAGAGACACAGCACAGCACACCGTCAAGCACAATCTCACTGACCGGGTGGTGGCAGACAAGTGGCCTGAGGGTGACGGGCAGGTGATGCTGCCTTCACTGCTCACTCAGTATGGTTACAGTCCTACTGAAGCTCAATTCCATGCTTGTAGTGTTAACAAGTCATCCCACACTTAACATACACTCAACAGGTATTTTCTGAATGAAAAAATGAACCAAGAATGTAGACACTCTAGGACAAACATGAAATAATTCCTCTTGGCACAATTTAGTAAAACTATTAAAAAAGGGGGGGGGGCAGGGAGATGGCTCAATAGAGTAAGTGCTTCCCTGGACAGTGCAAGGGCCCGAGTTCAATCCTTGGTTCTGAAAAAAAAAAAAAAAAAAGGCCCCAGAATGTCTGGGGATCAGAGTACCAAGTTTTTGGCTACTTATATAGCTAATCCATTGTTAGCTATATAAATTAATGAAGCAAGTTATGTGTAATTGGTGCCTGTTAGTAACTGTACGACCATGTGGGCCGCAGTCAGGTTGTGGGACTCAAGCTCCAATCCCAGCCGTGCAATGGTGGCTCAGTCATGTCCCCTCCCTTTGCCTCTGAGACCAACTGTACAATGGAGGAAGTAACTATACCTTCCTCATGGAGTGCAGGGAGCAGGAAGAGTGATGTTGTACTCAGCTGAACAGTGTCCAACACAGAGCAGGGCTGAAAGGACATGGAGCTGTCACTGGGTGTGCACAGCAGAGACCACATCAACATCGTGCCCCTCCCACTGCATGACCCGTGGGCTGGCTCTCAGATGCGCCTCACACTACACCTTGCATGCTCAGGCCAGGCCATGACTCTGTGGTCCCCACACAGGCATAGATTTATCTGAAATTTATGTGAATTCTGGGTGACAAGCCGGGAAAACCTGATAGAGAGACAGAGCATCTTCTTTCAACCGGTAGTCACCTGGCGGGAGGAGGGGAGACCAGAAAAAGTATTTCTACAGCTGGAAAAAAGAAGATGCTTACTCCAAGTAGCGTCATTCAAGCTTCAATAATGATGAACACACTCTCCAGGAGTGGGGAAAGGCAACAGCTTGGCTTTAGAGGTGAGGATCTATGCATATCCTAACTTTTTTTTTTTTTTTTTGGCAGAACTGGGGATTGAACTCAGGCCCTTGCGCTTGCCAGGGAAGCATTTATTCTATTGAGCTATCTCCCCGGCCTCACACCCCAACTTCTGAGGGAAGTCCTGTCCCCATATGTGACAGCAGTGCCAGTTCACAGAAGGACATGCCAGTGACTTACTCAAGAGCAGGTTAGACATGCAGGTCAGCAGTTTAGCAAAAATCCTGACCCACAGTTATTTTTCTGTCTGTGCATATGTCCTAAACTTCCCCAACAAAGCTCATAGGACAGAAAACAGAGACCTGGCTGTAAAGCCGAGGAGATAGCTCAGAGGCATAAGTGCCTGTCTGGCAAGTGCAAGGTCCTGTGTTTGATCCCCAACACCAAAAAAAGTCTGTTCAGAGGCCTGGCTGTATAATACATTATGTATACCCAGTATCTTTAGCTGTATAATCCATTATGTACACCCAGTATCTTTAGCTACCCAGTCTTTTCTTTACAACACATTAATAAAAAAAGAGCTGAAACATGTCAATTTCAAAAGGCAGCTGAAACTAGAGGAAAAAGCTGTATTAGACTTCTTGCTACTAAGTACCAAGCACTTGCTGATTACGCTTTCAATAGGAGTCTCCACGTGGCAACAGCATATTCAGAGATGCATGAACCCCACATTACAGAGAAGGGCTCAGAGCAGAGCAACCCTGCGCACTTGTATCCTATCTACTCAGGAAGTTTAGGCAGGAGGATCTCAAGTTCAAGGCCAGCTGGGCCAGTTACCAAGACTGTCTTAAAAGAAAAAAATGGCTGGAGCTATGGTTTCTATACAACGGGTCACTTGTAAAGAGCTTTGGTAACACACACAGCTGCATGGACAGTTGACAAGCATGGAGGAGAGCAATGAACTAAATGGGTGATGTTCCCGGTCCTCTTCCTTCACCACCGGCAACACCTGCAACGCCCACAGCGGGCGTCTCACAGACCATGTTCACAGAGTGAGGACAGGTGCCCAGAGGGGGAAGGAGAACCCAGCCTCGTTCAGGAACACACGCACCCACGAGCTCCTCCCACCCAGCGGGACATTATTTCCATTTAACAATGTAGAAGCTGCAATGTTTTCTCACTCATGCTGGCAAATTTGGCCAAATCAATACCACACACTACTTCCGAACAACAGCTGTGTGCAATAAACAGCTCAATCATCTCATTCCTTAAGTGAAATTTAGCAAAGGGAGAAAGGAGAAAGTTATGTGCCATTCACTGGGTACTACAACAGCTGTTCCTACGTCTTTATTCTTTTCTTTTTTTCTTTCTTTTTTTTTTTTTTTTTTTTGGTACCAGGGATCAACGCAGGACCTTACACTTGTCAGGAAGGCACTTATGCTGCTGAGCTGTCTCCCCGGCCCTCCTACTTCTCTATTCTTGTTTCAAAGCCAAACAAATCCTAGGGTCAGAGTCTCTGAGTTTCCTCCCTCCCTCTGTGAGTGCTGACCACCGAAATCAGAGCCTTGCCTTGCATGCACTATGCAAGCGCGCTGCTGCTGCGTCACACCCCATCCCCACCCCAGCTCCAGGATTGAGCCCACGGTCTCTGCACTGAGCTACCACTCATCTTTGTTTTCAGCACAGTCTCACAAGGTGGCTGTGTCACGCAGGTTGGACTTGAACCTGTGGTCCTGCTGCCTGAGCCCTGCCAAGGGCCAGGATTATAGGTGTATACCACCATGCCTGGCCTCTCTCCATCCTTGTATCAGCTAAACCCATAGCTTGTTGTTGTTGTGGTGGTTGGCATAAGATGAGTCAGCTGCCTTGAGATACAAACAATGTGTCTCTATAATTGTCTAAAAACTACTGTAAACACCCAGATATTTGATATAATCTAGTGATATTGACTGAAAACAAGGCAACTTGAAATTTGGCTATATAGCACAACAGCTAACAACAGGAAGAAAACAGTGTGAGCTCTTCAACTGAATATTTAAACTATCCAAGTGAAATTTTGATTACTTGTGATATGAAACAGTGTTCAATACCCTTTATTTTATTTTAATTTTAATTTTTTGTATTTTAGGGAAGGGTCTACAGGGTGTACAGGGTCTCACTACTAGATGGGACTTGTAGTGATCCTCCTGTTTACGGCCTCCCAAGAGCTGGGATTACAGGCGCGAGCCACCACACCCAGTCTCAATCACTGTCTCAGCATGCCCGGGGGCGGGGCCGGCATGGCAGGCCAGGGGTCAAACTCCCAGCCCCTGCACCTGCTTGCAGGTTTTAATCTGCTGAGCTATTTGGCCAGCTCTTTTTTTTTTGGTTTTTTAATATTCTTTTCTTTAATACAAAGCAAATATATCCTGTTGCAAAAAAATATGATTAAAGACAAACATAAAAGTACAATTCACTAAAATACAAAGACCACAACTAGTGGTGGAAGTGACTGGCTTTGGTCAAGGAGACCTGCTGCGCAGGATATGGAGATACAATTGAATGGACAGTGGGGGCAATAGCCGAGGTGCTACATTTTATGTCATGTGATTATTTTTGCTACAAAGTCTCACCATAAAATTGTGCCAAATAACAAAAGAACATCAAGTGTTACCTAGTATTCATAAGTATTAAAATAGTAAATTGTGTGTTACATGGGAGCTTTGCTATAAAGTATTACTATAAAACTGTACCAAGTAAATGACAGAAGGCACTCAAAATTTGCTGTTTTATACTAAGCATTCTACATACAGTGACTAATAAAATTGTAATGTCCTCGCTTTATAAAAAGTGGGAAACTAATTGCCAGAGAGGACAAGTGCTTCATCTATAGGCACAAGCAGGTGGTAAAATCAAGCATTAAAGTACCAGTATAGTGATCACACAGCATTAATAGTACTTCCAGTCATATTCTGTGAGGGCGGAATCCACCACAAAAGATAAGACTAGTACAGTACACTCAAGGAAAACACCTGACTCTCAGTGTCTGCAAAGCCCTGAGTCTCAGGAAAGAATGAGCCTCTGGGGGCTTCCACATCCTCCCAGTAAATGCCCACTAGGACGGGACCAAAAGCACTTCTGACTGTATTTATTTATTGGATTAAAATTCCACAGAATATATTATTTGAACAAGTCCATTGGAGAAGAAAAAAAATGTTCACAACCTGTTTTTGGCACAGAGGGAAATACCAAGATTTATACAGTAAACAGGAAGTGTCAAACAAAACTTTCAGGTTTCTCCTAAGAGCCTTTTTACCAAACTCTCTAATGGTTTTTGCAAATTAATATTCATAGACATTCACATGAAACCATATCTTCTTTTGGACCAATATGGATTCATGAAACTTATAATGTCATTGGAATCCAATTATATGGAATTTTAAACATTTCATGGAATTAGGGTTACTCATACAAAACAAGTAATACTAAGAACTGGTAAAGTAAAAAATAATAAAAATAAAAGTCCTATTATATATATATAAAAGGGAATCAACGAGATACTTTTTCTACCAGTCTTCAGTATACTAAGAGAATATCACCAAATATCCAGTGAAGAACCATAGAAGCCACTGAGTCAGAATATAACTTTTCTTTGCCATCATATTTTACCTCCAAAAAAATGCATTAACATCAAATGGTTCTTGTATACCAAGAATGAACCCACTGAGAAAAAAAATCAGAAAAACAACTCTATTAATAATAGCTTTTAAAAAATCAAATATCTATGAATCAACATGAACCAAGGAAGTACAAAACCTCTACAGTAAAAATTATAGAACACTATAAAAAGAAGTTGAAGTGCTGTGCCAGCCCCACCCCCAGGGCACGCTGAGAAGGTGATTGAGACTGGGCGTGGTGGCACATGCCTGTAATCCCAGCACTTGGGAGGCTGAAAAGAGGAGAATCACTATGAGTCGGATCTACTCAGTGAGACCCTGTAGACCCTGCAGAACCTGTACCAAATACCTTAAAAACAAACGAACAAACAAAACAAAAATAAACAAATCAAAGACATTAGAAAATGGAAAGGCTTCCTTTGTGCATGGGCTACAAGAATTAATACTGTGGGCTAGTGAGAAGGCTCAGTGGTCTAAAGCACCTACTTAGAACAAGCTCAGGAAAGCACAGGGACCGCGGTTCAACCCCCAGCACCACATGCCAGCCAGCCCGCCCCCTGGTGGGCTGAGCTGGCCACACACACACAAAATAAATAAATAAATACATAAATACATAAATAAAAGAATTAATACTGTGAAGATAGTCCTATTGCTGAGTATGGTGGCGCACACCTGTAATCCCAGCACTTGGGAGGCTGAGGCAAGAGGATCTTCATGAGTTTGAGACTAGCCTGGGCTACAAAGTGAGTTTAAGGCCAGCCTGAACTGCATAGTGAGGCCCTGTCTCAAAAAGAATGAAGATAGCCATGTTTCCAAAAGCATCCACAGATCCACTGTGATTTCTATTAAACTATCAGCAACATTTGTCACAGAACTAGTAAAACAACTTGTCCTAAAATTCATAAGAAATTTGAAAAACATCCAGCATAACCAAAGCAATTCTAAGCAAAAATAGCAATGCCAGAGACATCGCAACACCAGTTACTGCATTATATTATAAAGCCATAGAAACAAAAACAGACATAGGCTGATAGACCTCATTCAACAGCCTACCTGGTTAATAACCATTTGGACTTTTTATTCTTATTTTTATTTTTTATGTATTTAGTACAGGTTCTCACTATGCAGCTTGGACTCATAGTGATCTTCCTGTTTTCAGCCTCCCCAAGGCTGGGATTACAGGCATCCACACCATGCCTGGTCTCAGTGGCCGGATCAGCGTGCCCAGGGGCAAGGCCAGCCTGGCATGTGCGGCAGGGGATCACACCCTGGTTCCTGTGCTTGCCTAAGCAGGCGCTTAGTCCACTGAGCTGTCTTGCCAGCCCTGACTGCTTGGACTTAACAACTGAGGTGTGCTACCTAGTCTTTTGACCTGCTGCCTGTTCTTTTGTACAGTTCTGTATATATACCCTGTACATAGCGCCTTAATTTTTTTGATACAGCATACATTGTTTATACAGTACTGATTTTGCTGATTTATATAGTGTTGTACTTTAATGTTCCATTACACATTATACTACTTCATGTAAGAGTTATGTGAATAAAAGCAAAGTCATCAAGCTGGCATTTCCTTTGGCCATTTTATTGTTCAAAGGAGCCAAAAACACACACAAGGGAAAAGGCAGCCTCTTTAAAATGGTACTAGGAAAACATACAGAAGATTGAAAAAGCATCTCTCTGGGCCTGTATTAAAATAAAACCAAAATGGATCGAAGACCTAGATATAAAAGCAAAGAACTGGCTGGGGAGATAGCTCGGTAGAATGAGCGCTTGCCTGGCAAGCACAAGGTCCTGAGTTCAATCCCCGGTTCTGCCAAAGGAAAAAAAAAAAAGCAAAAAACTTTAAAACATACACCAGTGGAATCACTTGAAGGAACAAATACAGGCAGATGTTTCCTGAACAGAACTGCAATAGCACAGGAAATATCAGGAATTAATAAATGGGACACCAAATTTCAAACCCTCTACATAAAGAAAGGAAACAATCTAAAGTTAAGAGACAGTCTACAGAATGGGAAAAATACTTTTCCAGTTGCTATTAACAAAGGACTAATATCCAGACTATATAAGAAACTCAAAAATTTAACACCAAAAATCCAAATAGCCCAATCACTCAGTGGGCAAATGAACTGAATAGACAGGTCTCCAAAAAAGTAGCACAAACAGCCAGTAAGTACAGGAAAAATGTTCCATATGGTTAGCTATTACAAAATTGCAAATCAAAACTATTTTGAGAACCCATCTCACCCTACTTAGGCCATAAAGAATACAGAAAACAGCAAATGCTGACCAGGATGCATGGACAAAAAGAACTCTTCTTGTCAGTGGGAATGGCAAACTGGTACAACCACTATGGAAATCAGTGTGGAGAGTCCTCAGACAAACTACAAGCACAGCCCCCATTCATTGCAGCTAACCCTTTCTGGAGTATATTTCCCAAAGAATTAAAGACAGCATACTATAGGATACTGCAATCTACCAGCACTAAACTGTGGAAACAGCCTAGATGCCCACGAACAGATAAACATGTGGTACCTATACACAATGGGCTCTTAACCTGCTAAGTGAAATAAGCCAGACCCAGAATGATGAACTGTGCGTGGTTTCTTCCATGAGGAACCAAGAATGAATGAATGAATGATAGAAACTGGAGGGCAGGATTTTGGAGGTAGAGAAAGGGACACGAGAAGGGAGAGGTGAGGAGAGATTTAAAAATCAAAGGTATGTTAAATTCATGTACCAAATTCCCCAAAGAAATCTCGTCATTCTGTATTACTAACATGTCTTTTTAAAAAAACAAAACAAAGCAGGCTGGTATGATAGCTCAGTGGACTAAAGCACCTGCTTAGGCAGAGTGCAGAGACTGGGGTTCAATCCCTGGCACCACATGAATGCTGGCCCCACCCCTGGGGCGCACTGAGACCTCGATTGAGACTGGGCGTGGTAGAACGTGCCTGTAATCCCAGCACTTGGGAGGCTGAAAACAGGAGGATCGCTACAAGTCTGATCTATGTAGTGAGACCCTGTACACCCTGTACTAAATACTTAAAAAAAAAAGCAAAATAACTTATCATCCCAAACACACACATACACACACACACACACACACACCCCTCCCCCCCTTACCTCAATGGAACTGGCTATATTTAAACATTCTTCCATTCCAGGAATATCCAACTGAATAATTCGAAAATCTTTACATTTTATGATGATTGTACCCAGTGATCCCACAAATCTGTAAGAAAGTACAAATCATGGTTAAGAACACATATAGCTCCAGTTAAATCTGTAATTGATATGCTAAGTACTTGGAGAGGTACTTCTGAAGCACAGGAACAGTTCATCTCAGATGGCACCTACTTTTGAGCATGCAGCAATCCAACAAAAGGCAAATATCTCTTTTGAATACTTAACTATCAGCTTAGAAGCTCTATATTAAACTAAGAAAAACTTTTGAATAAATGCCATATCAAATCGCATATTTTGTATTGGTAAGTGTACAAACTTATTTTTATTTTAGCTGGGATATTGGTTTTGTTCTTGTCTATATTTGTTGTTTTACATTTATACTGATTTTTTTTTTTTTTTTTTTTTTTTTTTTTTTTGCAGAACTGGGGATTGAACTCAGGCCCTTGCGCTAGCCAGAAAAGCGCTTATTCCACTGAGCCATCTCCCCAACCCCTATACTGATTTTTTTTTT